CAGCCAGGAACTAGTTCATTGAAATAACTGTAATTACACCTCTGAATCACAGTGTGTGTAGAACTCATGGCCTCCTGTCCTTAAAAGCAGAAGCCTTGTGCCATGCACGTAGCTCAAAGAACAAAGGGACTGAGGGCATCCCAGCAAGGCCTCCCAGAGTTTCCCTTAAATAATGACTAGTAAGTATAGATTAAGGTCCATACTTGAAAAGGGTAGATTGATTCTACCCTATAAATCTGCATAATTTATGTCCTATGCTGTTAATTTAACTCCACTTTAAGCAAACTATTTACTTTATTGTAAAGAGAATTCGATTGCTGAAAGACCAAAAAAAGCAAGCTGCATTTTTCTGTGAAGTTAAATATCCACAGTATTGCTTAGCTGGATCACTCCATTCCTCTTAAAACTAAAACAGACATTGAGAGCAAAGCCAATCAATTAGAGATACCAACCAGCAAACCTTTCTAATCAGAAGTGAAGCCTTGCATTTCTCTCTCTGCATTTAGGAGATTGCTCTGCAACCCTCTCACTTAAATTGTATTCATCTCCTCTCATATCTGATGAGTTTATGTATGCAACAAGGAGAGAACAGATGATGTGGGATGTGCAGGGCTTTCAGAATGAATGGTTCAGGAATTCTGCTGCATGGAAATCAGGTAAAAGCATTTTCTCTAGAGAGGTCAGGAAATCCTCAATATGGGACAAAAGGGGAGGTGGATTTTATTTCATGATACAAATTCATGGCTCTCTTCCTCATCAAGTTTCATCATCTTCTTAAAGGAAAAAAAGAAAAAGTAGAAGGCAAACAAAAAAGAGGGACAGAACTGTAATGTGCCATTAAAAAAAAAAAAAAAAAAGAATAAAAAGTGTTGTGTTTGTCTGGTGTATAAAATGTGAGTTCTTATACCTGCCTTCTTATCACTGGGCTCAACTGCACTATCAGTTTCTCCCAGCAGGTACCGGGTCTGTGTGTGTGTTTGCAAGGTTTTTTATTCACTTAAGGTGCTCTGGAAATAACAGGCCTTCGTGGAAGTACTTCACAGAGCAGCAGGATACCCCTCAATATATCTTACAGAAATTCATGCTGGTTTCTGTGTTGTTTCTAGGAAAAGAAGCACGTATGATAATGTAAACTGCCTCAGAAGGTGAATTTCAGGGAAATGACTGCTACCTGCAGTGCAAAAATTTTGTTACTTTGGAGGCACTACAGGAAAATGCATTCAGCATTTTTGGGTGAACCCAGATGAAAGAGTTGAACTTTTTTGTTTATTTTTTTTTGTTTGTTTTTTGTTTATTCAAAGCTTCACTGCAGAGGGTTGTTAGGTTCACAAAAGGCAAAGCTGTCATTTGCCATGTAAATAAGAGTTTTTGGGCTGTCATGGTTGCAGTAAGAACCAGAGAGCTGCAATCCATGGGAAGTGGGGAGAGTTCCCTGCTCTTGATAGGAAATCAAATAGCTGCTGTAATAACCAAAACCTGCTGGAAAATGTCTTCAGTGTCAGTGGGAAGGGAGATCTGTGACAACCCCTAAATTTCACTGAAATGCTGAAATTTGGAAATACTGTTCTGGTCACAGCTCCTCCCTTGCCTGCCATAGGGTAATAAATTATACCCAGGCTGTTCACTGAATACTGTATTTATATACAAGCAATAAGGACACTCTGCTTGGATGAGGGAGTCTTCAGTTTAAGTTTCAGATCTAATGATAAGTTGTGGGCTCTGTGAAAGACATGTCCCTCACAACCTCCTAAATTTACTGTAGTCATGGTGATTGATGAAGAAATCATTGATTTTATGTGTTTTTAATGACTTAAGAGATTGGTTCCTTTAGTGACATTTTATACACTGAACTCTACATAGTAAATTTCAAATGTAGCTTTGTACAAAATAAATAGTTTCACCCCTGAAATTGTTGATGTCTACAGATTGTAACACTTGGTCAGAGATTTTTCATTGAACTGTAGCCTGGAAAAAGATTTCTAAGCTATATTGGCAGAGTGTAAAACGATTTCATCAACTCACTGTAGTGTTGTCCATTACTTCTTCCACTTATAAACCTGTCAGGAAGGCAGAGACACATGCATTGTTCCTTATTCTCAATCATCTCCTCCAGAGGCTGGTGACTGGGGCATAATCTTGTTTTCTCCTAATATGCAGGTCTACAGCTGGTTTATTGACTTATGAAGATAAACAAAAATAAGCAAAACTTCATTTCTTTGGGGAAAACAATTATAATTGGACTTAATATTTATTATTTGACACAAGTCTTTGGATTTCTATCCTTAAAATTCAGCAAAAGACCACAAACTTTCAGATTAATTGCTAAATGCAAAGCATATAGTCCAAGTCAGCATGTAACCTATAGCTCATATAAAGATCAACAATAAGCCAATTCTGTCATCCTGTGGAACAGCTCTCATGTTTTCCCCAAGCAGTAACAAAAAACACCAAAGAAAGACAGGAATATTTCAGTCTGTTCCCTATGACTCTCAATAATTTAAATCTAATTACCAGTCTATTTACTAAAATTACTTGTGGCTGACCAGAGCTATAGGGAGCCATTCATCTCCAAGGAGATGCAGTTCAGTTTCTGCACATCTCAGTGTTTCTACCTGGCACCGTGGATTATCCCTCAGGAAACACAAGCACAGCAGCTTTCCTGCCCACTGTCAGTGCATTGACTCCTCTTGTGAGCAACAAGCAGAGGCAAGTTCTTCTTCTATTACACAGAACCTGTATTTCTGTTGAGTGGCTTGGGAGGAATATTTTTTTTTTCAGGGAATAAACCTGTGCCCAGGTAACAACATAGCCCTAGTTTAACTGTGTGGCTCCAGCTACAACACATGGTGCAGGCAGATGATGATGGGAGAACAGGGTATGAGCCTTCTACACTTCTCTGCCTTCCCTGACTAAATCCAGGTATTTTTAGACCAGTGCCAGGATATTTGCATCTGATATATACATCTGATAGTCAACAGGAAGGCAGTTCTGGCTCCAGAGAGTTTGCAGGCTGCTCTGCCTTTGGCTCAGGCCATTTTGAGTTTGTCTTTGTTCCTGTGGAGTTTGTGGGATTTAGCAATTTCATATCTAGTGATTATTTCCACCAGTAAGGAGAAATGAAGTATGAGTAGATACAAGCAGATTGTGTACACTGGACCTCATCTCAACATGCAGGGAAATGCATGTTTTTTGAGTTTTGTCACGTGCACCTGCACAGGACAGAGGGCTGTGAATGGCCCTCTCAGCTGCTCAGCAAGAAGTGACCAGCAGTCATCTCAGGGGACACCATGGGAACAAGTGATCACCTCACCTCACCTCTGCAGGACTGCAGAGACAAAAGCCCCCTTGTCTCTTCCCTCCCTGACTGCCCCATGGCTGCGCTTTGCCATCCTGACAGCCAAGCACACTGCCCTGGGTCTAGGACTAGTGGGAGGGCTGTGGACCTTGTGGTGGCATAGCTGGACAATCCCCTGTGTCATGCTGCTGGGGAAGCTGGTGTCATATCTGGGCCTACCAGGCTGCCACAGCATCCCTGCTTCTCTCTGGGACAGTTCCATGGAAGGGAAGTGGTTTGGTGTCCTTTTGGTCCCATGTCTGACTCAGTGTTATGGGATGCTAGAGCTCAGCCTGCAACAGTGTATATGGGCCTCCCTCATGTCCCTACAGCTGGAGACACCAAAAATGGTGACACAGAGTGGTGATATCTGGTCCGCGTTCTGCTTGGAGGGGTCACATACCAACACGGATACCTCTACCCCTGTTGTGTTTGGTTGTTATCAGGGCACCCCACCTAAGACTTCCCCTCGGCTGTGGCTTCAGCTCTGCCTTTGCCATCTACATGGACACCCCCAGGAAAGGAGGAGAGAAACTGCAGGTGAGGGAGGAGCAGTGGATATGGGACACTGTGAGGTGAGGCTGGCACTGGTCACCACATTGTCCCTCCAGCACTGGACATTGCTGCCAATTCGGACAGAGCAGGGAGATGGCACCCACCATTTCTATTTCCATGAACAGGAGGCTCTTGGGGAGGGGGACTGGATTCCTCACCAAAGCCAGACTGCAGCTGATCCTCAGGCCCTCCCCTGTCAGGGCATTTAGGGCACAGTTCGGGCTCTCCTACACTGTGGGGTGCAGGGAAGTAGAGAGGCAGCTCCCAGGCCCCACGGCATGGATAGAGCTCTGTGGAAATGGGGAAGCTGCATATCCACTGCAACTCCCTGGAATGGGCTTGATGGTGGGGTCCCAGCTTGAAGATCCTGTCCAGTCAACTTTTCCAGGAGTCTGATGACTGTCAGTGGAAACAGTCCTTCCCAGGCCCTCCAGACCATCTTTCCCCTTGGGGACCATCACACTATAGCTGCTCTAGTCCCTTCATTTCTTGCACTCCAAGGAGAATTCCTAGAGGACTGCTCCCTCCAGCTGTTCCTGCAACCATCCCTAACTCCACAGCTGTGGTCCAAGCTAGAAGTACTCATCACCTCAACTCTGGGAAATCCCTTCCCCAGGATGAGACCAGCAGTGCTGAGGGGTCAAGGGATATTATCATCAGCTTTTATTTTTCTCTTACCCCTCTGAGCTTTCCAAGGTCATGGCCCAGCTCTCTTGCAGGTTTGCCACATCACTGGCTTATATAACTATGACCCATCAGCATAGCCTGGCTGTAGTATGGTTGGGAGGTGACAAAGAGGCATGGGACCAGTGCACAGCCTGGGGGCACAGAGAGCCCAGGCATGAGGCCGTGTGGTAGGAAAAGGGCTTGCCTGCCCTGTGGGAAAAACAGCCATGTTGTTGCGAACCCACTTGACAGCACAGAGCAGGTGGCAATGTCTGTTCTATGCAGGGCCAGATATTCCAGGCACAAGTAAGGGACAATGAGGGCAATGGATGCATCACATGGCCAAGTGACACATCCATCTGAAAGGGGGGTAGAACAGAGGCCTCAGCTCACCCATATCACCCTGATTGTCAAGGTGCTGCTGGAGAGGAACCGCTCCTGCACACAATGGAATGACCTTGCTCACAATCAAATTCCCCCAGCACTCACAGCCATACTCAGGATGCTCCAGCTCACTCCCAAGTGGGAAACCTCAGAGCCCTCCCCTAAACCTCAGAGCCAGCCCCATTGGCTGCCAGGGCCATTAGCACCAGCAGAGCTGCCCAGGCAGAGCCAGCCTGAAGAGACGTCTGAGGCCACATCTCTCAACAGTCTATTCTTCCTGCTGCTGCACTCACTGCTGCACACTCTGGGCCTCACTGCTGGAACCATGCAGTCCCCTTGCTGCTGCCTTCTCTCCCTCCTCCTCTACCTCCTCCTCCTCTCTGGGACATGGGCAAACCTGGAGGGTAAGTGGGACCCCTGACTCATACACATCTACCTTCATGGGACTCCATAGGGGAGAGGCTTCCTGCTCCCCACCCACCTTGGGCACTTGCTCCCTCACTCCTGCTTGTCCCTTGGCTGCATACCTCCTCCCCAGCAGGGATGCAGCCACCACAGGTGGGTGCAGGGGATGGGAACTGGGGCTGCAAATGCTGTAAGGGGCTTATGGGGGACCCATGGATCCCTGCAACCTCAAGGACCCATCCCTCAGCTCCTCTACTTTCCTCAACCTTCTTCTCCCAGTCCCATCTCCTCCCTGTCAACCTTTGTCTCATGTAGGGGCTTTCACTCTTCGGCTGCTCCAGACCAGCATCTTCCAAAACACCTCGTTTTCAGACATGGAGGGACTGGGCATGCTGGAAGACATCAAACTTGGTTCTTTTGATAAACATACATTGTCCATCCGCTTCTGCCAGCCCTGGGTGCGCCCAGCCCGGCCCCAAACTGACTGGGACGTTCTTGAGAACTTTCTTAAGGCCTATATGCAGACGTTCAACCATCTGGTCAACGAAATCGTCATGCAAAGAGGTGCCTTTTGTGAGTGCCCAGTCTTCATTGCATCCCTTTCTGAAAAGCAGCTGGGAAGTGGGGAAGGATCTGATAGAGCTGGCAATGTATAGGATACACTGACCATGTCTGCAGGAAGGAAATCCCAACCTTTCATGTAATGTCTCCCTCCTCTCTGCCCCAGCAGACCCCTTTGTGGTTCAGTGCATGGCAGGCTGCATACTGTACCCCAACAGAACCTCCCAGGCCTTTGCCTATGTGGGTTACAATGGTCAGGATTTCCTCAGCTTTGACATAGAGAATGCCACCTGGACCCTCTCCCAGGACACCGAGTTGTCACGGTATGTCCAGTCACTTCTCCAGAACTACACTGCCTTGAATGAGCTGGCGGTAATTACTTTCACTGATACTTTTGTCAATGACATTGAGTTGTTCCTGCACTATGGGAGGGCAGCTGTGGAGAGACAAGGTGAGACCACCCTGACCCTGCAACAGACACCCCAAAGCCCCCCACACTGGGGCCCAGCCGGGCCCCACCAGGGCTTGCCTCACCCC